TGCCCAGGATAACAAACCCAGCTCCCCTCTCAGTCCCTCTGCCTTCCCGGAGCCCTTGCCTCCCACATGTGTCTGTCTCCCTGTGTCCTCCTTTGAGAAGACCCAGCAGCCCTGCTCCACTACAGGGGCCATAGGTTCCAGGAGGTTCTCCTGAGCCCCTCCCATCACCCCCGTGAGCCCCGTTATAAGACCAAGCGAGCCTGGAGACCCCACAATCGATACTCCTCAAAGATAAAGACGCTAATAACTCTATCCCTTCTTGTCCGCTAACTCTCACCTACATTAGCTCTGACCACAGGCCCAGGCAGCTGGGACCTGCAGTGGTGGGGGGCGGGGAGAGGGGGCTGGAGCTGACTAACCCCTTCAGATCCAGGTAGGAAGCTGGAGGGAGATAGCAGGAAGGACTTCCTGACACTCAGGAACGGGAGGCCACGGGGATGAGGGAGAGAAGCCTCGGGAGATGTTTCCCACTCCTGGGTGGATGCATCGGACACCTGAGAGTCTGAGAATTTGTGACTGGGAAGCACCTATGAGGGTACCAAATCCGCGTCTAATCCATGAGGGCTGCCCGGAGGAGGTGAGCTGGGAGGCAAGTTCCCACTGGGAAAAATCAGGGAGTCAGGGGACTGGAATTGATGGGGGGGGGACCAGAGGGGGCGCTCTGGCCCCGCCCTCCCAGCAGTACCGGGGTTCTTCCTCCCACAGGGTCTGTTGGGGCAGCCCAGGGACCTGCAGCCCCTCCTCACCTCACACTCCCCACCAGGCAAGTCCTCTCCGGAGCAGCTGCAGCTGGAGGGGGTGGTTGGAATCAGGGGGCACGAGCTTCTCATTTGGGAGCCCTATCCCCCCCAAATATAGCCCTGCCAGCCTGTCCTGCCTCTTCTCCAAAGACCAGGGCTGGGGCCTGGACTGGGAGTAGGACAGAGAAGAAGAGAAGGAAAATGGAGGAGGAGTGAGAAGGAGTGCAGGCCAGGCCCCGTTGGAAAAGCTTTACACAGGAGACTTGTTTAAACCTCATAACCCAACGAGGTTAGTGCTATTCTCACCCCCAGTTTGTAGAGGACACGAAGGCACAGAAAGGTTGAGTAACTTGCTTGACATCACACAGCTGGTAAGCGCAGAACCAGGCACTCTGACTCCAGAGTCCAGAGGCTTCACCTCCAGGGAAGCCAGGCCAGGAACTAGCGGGAGGTGGGCTCAGAGTATTGCCCTGGGCTCTGCCCTTCTGCACCTGCGCTCTCTCCCTTTTGCCCCGTGCCCTCTGCATGCACAGTCTGTTCCTCTGCGCTGCTCTGGGCCCCTCGGAAGGCTCCGCCTGCAGCTCTGGCCCTGTCTGTCTCTGTCCTTCCTGGCTCCAGACCTCTCTCCTCCCCAGTGCCCCAGAGCCAACGCTGCTCAAACTTTTCCATCTTAGCAGGACAGGCTGTCAGAGCTGGGGTGGGGGTGGGGGACAGAGAGAGAGACAGTCTGGGAGGGGACTGATGCTCCAAGTAATGGAGTCACCTCATTCCCAGGAAAGGGCCGTGGGGGAGCTCGGCTGCCTGGTGGGTCCTCCTGGCAGTCGCTGAAAGTCAGGATTCCTGAGTCCTGGCTCCTCCCGGACTCACTTCCTCCCTCCCCAGCAGCCTGTTCAAGGCCACTTCACTTTAGGAATTTGGCCAGAGGGGCTCTCTCCAGCTGGTAGTTAGAGCGCCCAGGGCCCTTTGTACCTTGGGGGTCCCAGGGGGCTCAGGACCTTCTCTACCCAGGCTGCCCAGTGCTTTGCCCACACTGTTTCTGGAAACCAGAGCAGAAGCTCTGCCCTCCTGTCAGGATCCAGCCCTGAGGGAGCAGGACAGGAAGGAAGCCAGGCTGCCTAGGAAGGACTGTCCGTCCTCTGGGGCAGGATGGGGAGCCCCTGGCTTCTTAGAGAAACTCCCCATGTGGGGGGCTGGGGAGCCCCTGGCTTCTTTAGGGAAACTGTCCCCATGTGGGGGCTGGGGAGCCCCTGGCTTCTTTAGGGAAACTGTCCCCATGTGGGGGCTGGGGAGCCCCTGGCTTCTTTAGAGAAACTCCCCATGTGGGGGGCTGGGGAGCCCCTGGCTTCTTAGAGAAACTCCCCATGTCGGGGGCTGGGGAGCCCCTGGCTTCTTTAGAGAAACTCCCTATGTGGGGGGCTGGGGAGCCCCCGGCTTCTGCACCACTGAGTCCTTCTCTTCAGGGTCGGTATGGGGGAGCTGGCAGGAGCTTCCTTAGAGAGAGGCATTCTGAGTTCTGTCCTGGATGCTGGGTGCCCTGGCAGTGCCCACCACCCTCTCTGAGCCTCTGCCTTCTCTCCAGGACAGCCATTTCTGAGAGGAAGAGCTGGATGCGGGGGTGGGGGTGGGGTCGGGGGGAGCATGCCAGGTCTGGAGGACCCAGGTGCCTGATTCCCACAGCCTCAGGTCCCTGTCCCAGCTCCCCCTGGGTCCTCAGGGTCCCATTCCATTGATCCATCTCCGCTGGTGCTCAGCTCCTGGTGTGTGTGTGGGGGGGGGGGGGGGCAGCTAATGGACTTGGGCCAGCCATGAAGTAACTAAAGGGAGGGGGGGTGCATCACAATAGGGTGCTGGGGGCGGGGTGCCAACCCCCCCCGCTTCTTAATGAGGGAGGAGGGGTTGTGTGTGTGTGCCTGGCTGTGTGGGCTTTGCCCGGGTCTGTGGGTATGCTCCGGCATTGTCCCTCAGGGAAGCTGTGGAATGGGGGGTGCTAGACCCCCTTTCAACACCAGGACAAAGGTCCTGGGCCCCGAATGGCCTGGAAGGGGGGGGGAGGGTGCCGGCTTTCAGCCCCCTTGTTTTCCAGAGAAGAAAAAACAACG